CTACTTCTACCCTCGCTGCGCAACCCCTAGATAGGAACACAACACAAACAACTCTCTGCCCTTTCTTTGCTTCCTACGAGTAGACGTTCCAACATGAAACAATCAAGCATGCAGTACTCCCTGGATAAGGAGTCAGATGAGCGCAAATACTTCTTTTTCGCGGCCAGTTCGTGAATTGAGATAATCATGCGACCAAAAGCTTGAACCAGTATCTTCAAGCATTGTGTTGCTCAGAAAGTTTATTTTGTCTGATCATCTTGGGGTTTCAGTCCACTACATTGAGGGCAGGAGTTAGCAATTTGTGCAGGGGGTGGAAGTTAACATATAGCGAAGAGGGACCGTTGAGAAGATCTTTAACCTTAGGGCACTGGAATCTTCAAAAGCATCTGTTCGACTCTTCGCCCCTCCCCTATAGCTTGCATGTTTCAAGCTTCCGCTTCAGAGATCGGGTGTGATTTGCTATAATGTCGCACGCTCTGGTACAGCCTTATTGGCACGATATGGTGACCTGACTAAATTACGAAAGAATAGCTGGTCATGCATACAATCCCGTAAATGCGGTTTCGTCTGCGAATAGAGGAAATCCCCTGCGAAGTAGACGTGGCATCTTCATAGATTAGTCGCGTCGTCAGATTTGAAGGTCAGATATGAGACTGGTCTGCTTGCTTTCTTCGCTTCATGGATCAGTGAGTATATTTACCATTTAGATAGCTGGTTCGGGTTGAGGAAGGCTGTTAGAAGATATATGTCGGAGCTCTTAGAAAGGGAATAGGTTTGGATAGCTCTGGGCCAGTGTTTGAACATTTAGGTCTACCATAATCCTATCGAAAACATAAAACCCGTAAGCTGGAGCTTTAAGAGGACAAGAATAGCAAAATAAATATATCAATAGCAAGGGAGCTTCATAGTGAGAAACCTGATATAGGCGACCGCATAGCAAGGAAGTTATATAATTAAAGAGGTGTTCATATGTCACATGAGTGTGGTGCATAAGCAGAACAACGCATTAGGCAAAGAGGAAGCATATGGATTGGGGTAAGGAGCGGTGAGGGAGCCCTCTCAAGCCAGAAGTGAATAGAGTGGAAAGCAAAAGCAGATCTTGCCTTTAGTGGATTCAAGAAAGTAATGGTAATTCCCAAGACGGTCATTATCGGATACATCACATGTATAATCTTGTTCGCGCGGGACTTCCATAGTCTTGCCGAGACGCTTCATGCTACTATTCCACCCATGCATCGCTCATGCTTCCGTGCACCTACAGTAAGGACATGTTTCTATCATGCAGCTAGGGTGGACTATATATGAAGTTTACTTTATTAAAAGCCTAAGCCTTTTGCATATCAATAATTGGATGATGGTCTGCTCCTGCAACGAATGGAGTTTGTCGCTCATTTGCTCACTCTTACTGGGTTATGGTTCTCCCTGTGATCCTCCTTGATGAGTGGATGCAACACGAAGAACTGAATGGTCAAAGAGGAAGAACACGGAGGACTGATTTCCTTCCATGTATGGTGGCTCTTTCTAAAATATGTATGCACGGGTGATCATATGCATTGTCCCGGGGAGTAAGTGCTAGTTAAGGCAGTCGCTGTTAAGACGAATGCTCTCTCCCATTTCTTGAATGGCCACGTCAGCACGCTGGAACATCAATGACTGTAGTTTAAGGAACAGACGGGCGAGAAAAATTCGAGAAAATAGAGAGCTTCTCCGGCGGAGGAGCTGGACAAATATATGTTTATCAAGCCTCTGTAGTTTTGTTCCGCGCTCTGTTGGTTCAATTTGTCATACGCGCTGATAAATTAGTTAGCTAAATAAAATCTTGGGTAGTAGAGACAAGACTAAGAAATAGTGTTATCAGACCACGGAAAGAGTCCCGCGGTGGAGTCCAGAGTTGCTTATCAGCGATAACCCTAAAAGTCAGCCTTGTTATACTACTGCATATTATAGCAACCCCTAGCAGAAACGCCAGCTGGTGGATCCTTCGTCTGTGGAAGGATCAATGTACACTCATTCAAAGCGGAAACGAACCCGACCTGATTACAAAAGAATCAAAAGGACAATATGTCAGCATGGTTGCAGAGCCCAACTTGTTATGCTTACTTGCTAATTAATAGCTGAATATCACTGCAATAGTGACAAGCTCAAATTGGGACTAAGCTCCGAACAGCCTAGCCCATCATTGATCTCATTAAAGGAGTTTTGATCATTTTCTGAATTGTTATCTCTGGTGGCTGTCGCTGGGTGACAGCTGATCTATCTGGCAATTTTCATTCATTTTCAAGGCTGAATACATCTGGGGAGAAACACACAATGCAGTCAGAAGGAGAAAAGAACACATACATGCCAGGTGATGTCGATACTACATCGTCCGAAGGCACACCCGACGATGAAGCAGCACGCGCACAAACAGCCCTTTCATCCAAGCCATTCAGCACTACTCGCGCGAATTTCACCATTGTCAGTCTCACGGGCGTCAGCTTCCTCAATACTATGGGATCAGGCATCCTGACCGTGGCCCTCCCACAAATGGCGATTGACCTCCATCTAGACGAAGATATCCTACTATGGCCCGCATCGGTCTACGCGCTCGCAGCGGGTTGCACCCTCCTGCTCTTCGGTTCCATCGCGGATGCAGTGGGTGACAAAATAATATGGATAAGTGGGAGCATTCTGTACGCCATATTCACACTCGCTTGCGGCTTTGCACAAACGGGGAATCAGCTCATCGCGTTTCGAACTCTATTGGGCCTCTGCATCGCGATGTGCTTGCCCTCTGCGGTCAGCTTAATGACGCGCAGTTGCCCCTCGGGAAAAAGGCGAAACATTGGATTCGCATCAATGGGGATGGGGCAGCCTTTAGGCTATTCTTTGGGGCTCATCCTTGGAGGTGTGTTCGTTGACACGATCGGATGGCGTTACGGGTATTATATCAGTGCTATCATCAATGCTGTCCTATCGGCCACGGCTTTCTGGGCGCTGCCCGCTGTCAACAAACCCCAGGGAGAGCCGTGGTATAGGCGCATGGCAGAAATTGACTGGATTGGGGCAGTCATCATTAGTGTCTCGCTGGCATTGCTGTGTTTCGTGATGGCGTAGGTGTTCCCTCAATCTCCCGCATTCGACTCTATCTTGCTAATGCAATGTGTCCTGCAGTGAACTCTCCGGAAGTTATCGAAACATTCGCACAGGATACGTCATTGCCCTTCTTGTTGTGTCATTGGTGCTCATTCCTGCATTCATCGCGTGGATGAACTGGCGACAGCGGAAGGGTCAACCCGCCCTCATTCCCAACAGTATATGGCGTAACACCACATTTACCTCGACATGCATCATCGTGTTCTTTACCTGGGCTGTTTTCAATGCCTTTCAATACTTTTCGTCGCTCTAGTAAGTTTACATTCAATTTCTACAACGAGGATATGGCAAGTGGCTGACGAGTGTGGGCAGTTTCCAAAACATCCAGCATCATTCTGCTCTCATCTCGGCCGTGATGTTTCTACCCTTGGTAATTGTCGGAGCTCTCACCAATATTGTCACGGGCTACGTAGTGGATAAAGTTGAGGTACGAACATTAGTCTTTGTTTCTGCCTGCATCAGCACGATCTCTGCTCTGTTGATGGCATTGGTCAAACCCAGCTGGGGATATTGGCGGGGGCCGTTCGTGGGTATGCTTCTGAGCCCACTTCATCCGGATGGTAAGTTCAAAATGAACATGACGGCTAAATAAAGCATGCTACTCTGATTCGCTGATCGGGAAATAGTTCTTTTTACCGTCTCAAACCTTATAATCTCGCAAGCTTATCCGGGAGAGAACCAAGGGCTGGCTGGGGCCGTGTTTAATGCCGTCTCACAGATTGGTAACTCCGTCGGACTAGCCGTTAGCGCTGTTATTGCTGGATCTGTTGCGGCACACTCGGACGGCAGTTTGTTGAAAGGCTACGAAGCGGCCTATTGGCTCATGTTCGCAGCCATGATCGTAGTCTGTTTTGTCAGTTTTGTGGGACTGCGGTCCGGCGGGAAGGTGGGCAGCAAGAAGGAGGAGTAGAATTTTCTGTAACCTATCATGACGATCATAAATCCTATAAGCCCTAACGCTTCAGAGCCCCCAAATTCCGGATCCCTTATCTCCAGCAAACTATAGGATGAAACAACTGTTGTAGTTCTGGCCTCTTACAGCAGGAACGAGGCGGTTTAATGCGCCTTTTTAGCGGTCACGTCATGATATTAGCCCGGTCCAGACGGGCAAGACTGTCTCTGGCCAGAAAATGCCGACAGAGATGCGTAGGAGATGCTTATGGAAGCGGGATTGCGCCGGCGATCCTTCATCTAGTGGTGGCCATTGCAGAGAATTACTGCAGAACCCTGACTGAGTATATTTCTGCTTATTGCTCTTTTTGCTTTCTTTGGGCACATCTCCGCCTCACGTCAGACATGCACTACCAAACCCATCCTACAATATCCAAGTGTAGCCAATTGGGTGATGTCTGGATCGCCGAAAGACGATAGCAAATCTTCGTTGAGTATACCGTCCAACAGACCGTAACGTCTCGTTCACTTCCCGGTGGTCTTTCCGATGAATTGCCAAGAAATATTATATTGGGAATGCTTATTATTAGACGTTCTTTGCTGCCTGGACTGCGAGTCGAGAACCCGCATTCAACCGGCATACAGACCCTCGATAATTATACCCCTTCATGCATGTGAGAACTCACACATCCTTGTAGGCCGGGACTTCGAGGGAATTTCCATACTTATTACATTCATGGAAATCGTTATAGTTTTCTTCTCGAAGTATGTGAACTTAAGTAGGTACACGGGTACTAGGTTTGGTTTCTGCATAAATATCAATATCCGGGGTCTCCGATCAGCCACGCAACGTATTGACCCTGTCCAGTTTCCAAAGGCATTTGGCCCCAAGACAAAGCTTGCAAATATCCACTAGGCTCTATTTTGGACGGCCCCCAATTCTGGCCTTTCTTTTCCATCCTGAAGGATGCCAGTAGTAGATTCCTACGGCTCCAGATCAGGCCAATGAAGTCAGCGGTTCCATGCTGGAGTGGCCAATCGATCAACATTGCTCTATGGACAATTAACTTCCGAAGGGACTCATCGGAATAGTGTCATATACTTTGGCTCAATCAGGATTCACCGGTAAATGTAACATGCCAGGACTGCGTTATAACTCCGAATCTGGTAAGAGGCGGTCTACGTTGGAGAATTGGTTGCACCTTTTGGATATAAAAGGGTACCACGATGCCCTTTTTCAGAATGCTAGTGTTACCAGGGCATCTCCCCAAATCTATTTGTCTTACTCTGTTGTGAGAAACGTCTTATTGTACTTAGATTACTATGTCTTCATACAAGGTTGTTATTGTCGGGGGTGGCCCGGTTGGGGCGTTGGCGGGCTTATATGCGGCTCAGCGAGGCTTTCAAGTGGAAATTTATGAGATGAGGGACGGTGCGTCTGCCTTACTTTTTGCGCCTCTGATGCATTTCCCAGTGACATGCTCTTCTAACGGATGGTTGTACATGTAGAGTACAGTCAAGTCCAGACAGCAACTTCCTTCTCTGCCAAGAGTATCAGTCTGACGCTGTCCGAACGAGGCATCAAGGCCTTACGGCATAGCCAATTCAGGGGCCTGGCAGAGAGGATTCTATCGACAACTGTTCCCGTCTATGGTCGAATGGTGCACAGCAAGTCCAAGACGCGACTAACTACCAGGCGAATTGCCTATGATGTTCATGGACAGGTATGTCAGAACCCTCTTGAGTTGACTTCTTTCCTTTCTCTGCTCCTTTTAGGCAACCATTCTGACAAATTCTCATCTTCATGTAGGCTCTTTATGCTATCAGCCGCTCTGAGATCAACCAAAACTTGCTTGAAGGATTGTCTGCCTTCCCAAATGTTCGCATATTCTATAAGCACAGACTCAATGGCTTGGACATGAAGCAGAAGTGTGCCACTTTCCAAAACATATCTCGCCCTCTGGAGCCCAGCCATGAGACCAAGTTTGACCTACTGATTGGTGCTGACGGTGCTCACTCTACAACCCGCTTCTTTTTGTCCCGCTATGCCAAAATCAACATTAACCAGAAGTGGGAGGATATCTTCTGGTGTGAGCTTACCATCCCTGCGGGGCATGCTCTTCCGATGGACTGTCTGCACATGTGGCCCCAGCGTGACTTTATGCTGTTTGCCTGTCCGGATAAGGTATGCACGCTCCACAAATCATTCCAACAACCAATGTGATACTGACCCTCCCTAGGAAGGAACATTGACTTGCAATCTGTTCGCTCCGGAAAAGGTCTTTCTGGAAATGAAGTTCTCTGGGAGGATTGCGGAGTTCTTCGAGAAGAACTTCCCTGGTATCACACCAGACCTCATCCCCGCCGACAACCTCCAGAAACAATTCAAGTCGAATCTACATCACCCCATGATCGACATCCGATGCTCACCGTATCACTACCAGGACTCATGTGTCCTCATTGGTGATGCCGCGCATGCCATGGTCCCCTTCTACGGTCAAGGCATGAACACCGGCTTCGAGGATGTCCGAATCCTGTTCGAGGACTTCCTCGATCAACGTAGGAGTTTCCCCTCCTGGAAGGACAACCTTTCCTTGAGTTATGCAATGCAACAAAAAGAGCTACCCGACACCCCGCAGGCGATTGTAGAAGACTACCTTGAGCAGTACACCAAGTATCGCCAGCCGGATGTCCACATTATAAATGAAATGGCGTTGCAAAACTACAAGGAACTACGACAAGGCGTGTTCAAAATGTCTTACCATATCCGCAAGCGGATTGAGGAGTTCCTGAGTCTTCATGCCCCGCAGCTTGGGTGGGCGACGCAGTACCGGCTGGTGGCGTTCGAGACAATGCGATATACCGATGTTTTGCGACAGGTCCGAAGACAGGGAATGATCTTGAGTGCTGTAGCGTGGAGCTGCCTGGTGCTCTTTTTCCTTTTGTGTCTTTTTTCGCTTCACCTGTAAGAAGCGAAGTATTGGTAATGATTCAAGGGTTTTGCATATAGTCTGTGGAATAAGTGGGTAAAAGCTTGGACATAGTGTAATTAAGTGTCAGTTATTGATTATTGTTTAATTGAAGTTTACACACTAAAGCGATGCGAACCCTAATGTGACTTCTGCTGTTCCTGAACATGAAATGTTTAGCATTTTCAGGAAAAGCTTTTCATACTCCTATCATATGTTACTTCAATTGGTTTGAATATTGAGTATACTATCACTATTGAGGGCGATGTTGTGTAGTTTCTCGCTGGGAATCAGACATGGTTCAACTTAAGGTTCGGTTTAAGGTATATAATCGAAACTTAAGCTTGGGACGGTTTTCATCCAAGATCGACTAACTAACCACCAATGCGGGGGTTGCCTTCATATAAGGTCTATCAATTCTACCTGTATATTAGCACTAGTACTACCACGATGCAATAATCTTGAGTTGTGCTCATGCATTAATAGGCGTCCCACCACCCTGCATCTCCATAGTCCGTACATACTACATACAGTAACTATGCGATGTGACCGGGACTGGAATAACATGATCTCCGATCTAACGGGGCCAAAAGGGGCAGCCAAGATCTGCTAGACTCAATAAAGCTAGTGGCGGAACACCTGAGGCGGTGATCCATTTTGGGCGAGGAAAGGGCAAAAAGTGGATCGGCGAAAGGCAAGTTGGAGTCGGGAGTTTGGTCTGCCGCCCCAGGGCCGCGTATTAGTCTAGCTGCTCTCTCTATTCATTCGGGCCAACTCGTCAACTCTTTCCCTCGCTTTCATTCAGAATTCCATTATTTCTCGTATCATTTTGCCATTCTTGCCACTTTCGATTCCTATTTTTGCTTTTGATCTTCGGTATCATATTCCCACCTCGGTGGCGCCCCTACAGACCGACACATACCTGGCCGACTTTCCTTGCGTCTGCCTGTACACCGGGACCCGCCTCATACCCAGTACGTGTTGGTCCATGGCAAGCCTCCTACTTGGCCTGATCACATCGTCCTGAGAGTGAGAGTTCACCCAAACTTCCCCCCCCCCCAAACGATGCGTCTTACAGGTGGTGTCGCTGCGGCTCTGGGCCTTTGCGGTGCTGCCTCCGCTTCTCTCCATCCTCATCGTTCCTACGAGACACATGATTACTTCGCTCTACACCTTGATGAATCCGCCTCGCCGGCCGACGTCGCTCAACGACTAGGTGCTCGCCACGAAGGCCCCGTCGGAGAATTACCTTCACATCATACCTTTTCGATACCCCGTGAGAACAGTGACGATGTCCATGCGCTGCTGGATCAATTGCGCGATCGTCGGAGGTTACGCCGCCGCTCCGGAGACGACGCCGCTGTCCTTCCCTCCTTGGTCGGGCGAGACGAAGGTCTAAGTGGGATTCTTTGGTCCGAAAAGCTGGCCCCCCAGATGAAACTTCATAAGAGAGTGCCGCCGACAGGATATACTGCCAGATCGCCTGTGAACACTCAGAGTGATCCTCAAGCGCTTGCGTCGCAAAAGCGCATTGCTTCGGAATTGGGCCTAGCGGATCCCATCTTCGGCGAACAATGGCATTTGTTCAATACCGTTCAACTGGGTCATGATCTTAACGTGACGGGCATCTGGCTGGAGGGTATTACCGGGCAGGGTGTTACGACAGCTATTGTCGATGATGGTTTGGACATGTACAGCAACGATCTTAGGCCGAACTATTTTGCGGCGGGGTCTTACGACTATAACGACAAAATACCGGAGCCGAGGCCGCGCTTGAGCGACGACCGCCACGGTACTAGATGTGCGGGTGAAATCGGTGCGGCGAAGAACGACGTGTGCGGGGTTGGTGTTGCGTATGATAGTCGCATTGCTGGTATTCGGATTCTTTCTGCACCCATTGACGATACTGATGAGGCTGCGGCTATCAACTATGCTTACCAGGAGAACGATATTTACTCGTGTTCCTGGGGTCCTTACGATGATGGCGCTACAATGGAGGCTCCGGGAACCCTGATCAAGCGGGCCATGGTCAATGGTATTCAAAATGGTCGGGGTGGAAAAGGCTCGGTTTTTGTGTTTGCGGCTGGTAACGGTGCCATTCATGATGACAACTGTAACTTTGACGGTTACACCAACAGTATCTACAGCATCACGGTGGGTGCCATTGATCGGGAGGGTAACCATCCTCCGTACTCGGAATCCTGCTCGGCGCAACTGGTGGTTGCCTACAGCAGCGGCGCGAGTGATGCAATTCATACCACGGACGTCGGCACAGACAAGTGCTCGAGTACTCATGGTGGAACTTCGGCGGCCGGCCCGCTCGCTGCGGGGACTGTGGCGCTGGCCCTCAGTGTTCGGCCGGAACTCACCTGGCGTGATGTCCAACATTTGATGATTGAGGCGGCAGTGCCGGTTCACGAAGACGATGGAAGCTGGCAAGACACTAAGAATGGAAAGAAGTTCAGCCATGACTGGGGATACGGCAAGGTAGATACCTGGACGCTGGTGCAACAGGCAAAGACCTGGGATCTGGTGAAGCCCCAAGCCTGGCTCCATTCCCCTTGGCAGCGGGTTGAGCATGAGATTCCACAGGGCGAGCAGGGCCTGGCCAGTTCGTATGAGGTGACGGAGGATATGTTGAAGGGTGCCAATCTGGAAAGGCTGGAGCATGTCACGGTCACCATGAATGTTAACCACACCCGCCGAGGCGATCTCAGCGTGGAGTTGCGGAGCCCTGACGGCAGGGTCAGTCACCTCAGTACGCCCCGGCGGCCGGATAATCAAGAGGTGGGCTATGTTGACTGGACTTTTATGAGCGTTGCTCATTGGTAAGTAACTCTTTTACTCGATTGTCGGTTTTCGGTTTTCATGCTAATATTCATCTAGGGGCGAGTCCGGAATTGGCAAATGGACTGTGATTGTCAAGGACACCAATGTCAACGAGCATAATGGACAGTTCATTGACTGGCGACTCAACTTGTGGGGCGAGGCGATTGACGCAGCCGAGCAGCCTCTTCACCCCATGCCTACTGAACATGATGACGACCACAGCTACGAGGAAGGAAACGTGGCTACCACGAGCATTGGCGCCGTCCCCACGAAAACCGAGCTGCCTGACAAGCCCACTGGTGGCGTTGATCGCCCGGTGAACGTTAAGCCAACAACATCCGCGATGCCGACAGGTAGTCTGATGACGGATCCCATCGATGATGAAGAACTCGAGAAGACCCCTACGGCAGAGGCAAGCTCAACAGCAAGCCCTTCTCCGAGCTCTGCGTCAGATAGTTTCCTGCCTTCCTTCTTTCCCACGTTTGGTGCCTCCAAGCGAACGCAAGCCTGGATTTATGCCGCGATCGGCTCCATCATTGTCTTCTGCATTGGTCTGGGCGTTTACTTCCATGTGCAACGCCGTAAACGCCTTCGCAACGACAGTCGGGATGACTATGACTTCGAGATGATCGAAGACGAGGATGAGCTGCAGGCAATGAACGGACGGGCGGACCGTTCACGTCGCCGAGGTGGCGAGCTGTACAATGCTTTTGCGGGCGAGAGCGACGAGGAACCGTTGTTCAGTGATGAGGATGGTGAACCATATCGGGATCGGGGGATTAGCGGCGAACAAGAACGGGAGGGGGATGGAGAGCATTCTCGGAGATGAAGGGCAAGTAGATGAGGGTTGATCTTATTTCGGACAGTGTTTCTAACTCGTTGGATGACCTGCGTTGAACGATATTACTGCTGTGTATGCTGCATAGAGAAAGCGTGTATATACCATGTATGTTTGCACTATCTTAAATCATTCAGCCATTGATTTATCTATTTTTTCATCTGCCGTAGTATCTAGTGGTGGTGATCTCCGGAGTAGAACCAAAGGAACACTAAATTAAGGGTCTTGGCGATGACGCTTCCCGTCGCTGCTTTTGACTTCCTCCGCATCTCTTGTCTCTCCTGCTGTTGACCGCCCGCCAACCAACCTCCATCTCCTCACTCCTCCCACCTTATCCTAGTGTCCTGCTTCTAGAACCCTCAGATTAATCTAAAAACCGGCTTTTCCTAGCTCCACGTACTGTACCTTGCACTGATCCCCATATCCACCCACTCCAACGCTACCGATCTAGCCTTCTCTGCCGGCTCCAGGCGGCAGGCAACCCAACCAACCCCTCGATGGATCAGCACGACGACTTCGACAGCGTCTCGTGGAGGCATGACCCGGACAGTGATCTCTCGCGACCTACGACTTCCGGCACAGATACAGAGGAACAGGAACCATACACTCACGATGTCAATGGCAAACGGAGGATGAGCAACGCTGAAGAGAGCCCCCAGGCTGGGCCACTGGCGGATGCCGTCGACCTGGCGGGTATTGGCGACGGTGTGCTAGAGTGCCGGGTAGATTCGCCGTTGAAAGAGAATGATGGGACAAAAGACGCTTATATTTCATATCTGGTTACTACTACGGTGGGTTGTCTCTGCCTTCAGTGATCTCGAATGGAGACGAGTATGTGGTTGCAGTGTTCGCTGACCAGATCTGTAGACCGATTTCAAGTCCTTTCAGAAACCCGCGTTCACCGTGCGACGCAGATTCACCGATTTCTATTTCCTATACAAGACGCTTTATCGCGAATACCCTGCCTGTGCCGTCCCGCCGCTGCCGGATAAGCATAAGATGGAGTATGTCCGCGGCGATCGGTTCGGACCCGAGTTCACCACCCGACGGGCATGGTCTCTACATCGCTTCTTGAAACGACTTACGCTGCATCCCGTGCTTCGGCGCGCGCCGTTGCTGGCCATCTTCTTGGAATCTCCCGACTGGAATGCACACATGCGGTTGCGATCCACGCGCAACTCGACCAGCACCTCGGACGGCAGCGGGGTTCCTGGAATCTTTGACAACTTTACCGACACCTTTGTCAACGCTTTCACTAAGGTGCATAAGCCGGATAAGCGGTTTATTGAAGTGCGGGAGAAGGCGGATAAACTGGATGAGGACCTCAATCATGTGGAGAAGATTGTAGCCCGGGTGGCTCGGCGAGAATCGGATCTCGAGGCAGACTATAATGACCTGGCTACGCAGTTCCGCAAACTAGTGCCCCTGGAACCGGAGGTGGAGGTCCCCTTACAAGTCTTTGCAGCCTCGGTAGAGGAGACGGGGCGCGGGCTCAAGACGCTCAAGGATCACACCGATCAGAACTATCTGGGGTCGCTGCGGGATATGGAGGCGTACATTGTCTCGCTTAAAGCCCTCCTCAAGACGCGCGAGCAGAAACAGCTCGACTTCGAAGCGCTGGTCGACTATCGAAACAAGGCGGTGGCGGAGCGGGACTCCCTCGCCTCTAACCCCTCTTCCTACTATGCCTCCAACCCGCTGACCTCTTCCCCGGCCTCGTTCATCCGGTCTAAGATGGAGGACATGCGGGGTGTCGATCACGAGCAATCGCGACGCGAGCGGGTGCGGAAGTTGGAGCTCCGCATCGACGAGCTCACGCGCGAGGTTGAGTCGGCCAAGACAACGTCGGAGATGTTCGACGAGGAAGTCGTGCGGGAAGTGGCAGACTTTGAGCGCATCAAGGCCGTAGAGTTTCGGGATACGCTTGGGTCATTGGCCGAGAAGCAGATCGAATTCTACCAGGGAGTACTGAATACCTGGGAACGATTCGTGGCTGAGATGGAGGGAGATTTGGAAGAAGAGCATGACCCCGGCATGGAGGAGAGGTGATAACTTTTACTACTACTACAACCACCATTGCTACATTTAGGTACTACTGATTATGACACCGTGATATCGCACTAGCCATGTTCTTTTTGTTCGCTTCATGAGGGTTTTGATTGTCTTATTACCATTACGGAAGGAGACTGTTGCTTCATGAATGAAATAATCATCACGACGTTGCACTTTTCACTCTGTCCTTCTTTCCTCCTTTTACTCGTCTTAGAAACCCTACCATCTATCCATCATCCTCATCCCCACAATCACCATGAAACCCAATCAATTCCCCACCAGCCTCTCCCTAACCCTCTGACTCTCCGCCCACTCCAAATCAAGGGGACTCGGATCCCTCTGCGCATTAGGGTCCACCACAGCCGGATCCAGCGCGCGAGTCGTATGTCTTCGCACGATATTCTACAACAGGGATATACCCCTGATATCAGATACACCCTTGCGCAAGCACACAACTTCCCGAACAAACACATAGTATATGAAAATCATGCAATGAAATCAGGTATGGTACTAACCTCCCTGTACACCTGATTCGGCGTCTTGCTTCTATTCTTGTCCTTGCGGGTGTCATCACCATCATCCCCGGACATTAAATGGAGGTAGACTTCATGGTCGTAGTCGATCCTTTGGGATGATGGGTTGGCGAAGTTGGCGGATAGATGGGGTCTTTCTTCTTGTGTTTGGGATTGGGATTGGGATTTGGATTTAGGGGTTTTGGTAGTAGTGGTGTTTGGTGAGGACATCTTTCCTTCTTTCCTGTCTCGGTATGTATAGTATGGTAGTAGGGTTGTTATGTGATTGAAATGATAGATATTAAAGTTGAAGAAAAAAAAAATTCAATTGAGTTGTAGGGCTGTGTCTGGTACTAATATACTTTAAAGTTCTTCAGGGTTTTACTAGTTATCTTTTTCTGTTTTTGGCTTGAGGGGGGTGTGTTTCGCCTTTCTGCAGTAGTGGAATTGGAATGGGTGCATTGTGGCGGAGTGAATGCATGGTGGCAGTGGCAGTGAGAGTGAGTGAGATTTGAAGTCAGGGGGGAAATAGATGGCATGTTGCATTTTGTGGAAATTTGATGGTATGCTGAGATGTGTATTTCTTGGGTTGATTATTATGCGGGAGGAAAGTTAGTATTTGGGGGCGAGAATGAGTAGTTGCTTGGGGGTTGAAATATGACTTACACTTGTTGATGGTAAGTTAGTTGATGGATGCGGAATGATGTTTGCTCTGTTTGCTTTAGTATCTGGTGATGGCTTCACTTTCCCTTCCACTTCCGGCTTCTCGCTCTCTCTTCCCCGCTGTTCACTGCCCCATCTCCCATCATGCGTCCTCTTTCTCGGACGGCTCTCCGTCCCTACGTTTGCCCGTCTTGTCAATTGGGCCGTCTTCCTGCCCGCAGGAGATATGCTTCCCACTCGCCCTCCAACGCTGCGGCACCCGAGATCTACGATGTCGTCTGCGTCGGCGGTGGTCCTGCCGGTCTAGGCCTGTTGGCTGCACTCCGTATGCTGCTCCAATGCGCTGTATACCTTCAATTGGTGTCTCTGACTGACTTCTCTAGGGGCTAATCCCACCACCTCAAAGCTGAAAGTCGCCCTGGTCGAAACCCAAGACCTGAACAAAGCCCGCTCGTGGTCCCTCGATGCGCAGAACTACTCCAACCGCGTCAGCAGCCTGACTCCCTCCTCCGTCTCGTTCCTGAAGAAGATCGGCGCCTGGGATCACCTTGACGCATCCCGCGCTCAGCCCTACCAGGAGATGCAAGTTTGGGATGGCGAAACCGGCTCGCGCATCTCCTTCGACTGGTCCATGGAGACCTCTCCGTTCGAAGACCTCCGCACCGTCGCGACCATGACCGAGAACTCCAACCTCGTTCGCGCCCTCCTCTCCCGCATCGCAGCCTCCGGAGATGACAACCTCTCCCTCTTCTCCAACAGCACCGTCTCCTCCATCACCAATGGCACCGATACCCCCGACGGCCCCGACCTCTCCGCCTGGCCCGTCCTCTCCATCACACCCACCAACACCACCACCACCCAACCGCCCACCCGCATTGCCGCGCGCCTCCTCGTCGGCGCAGACGGCATCAACAGTCCTGTCCGCCGCTTCGCCGACATCGCCACAGACGGATGGGACTACAACCGGCACGGCATCGTCGCGAGCCTCTCCCTCGCCGACCTAGATCCCGCTCCGTTCCCTCTCGGAATGAGAACCGCCTACCAGCGCTTCCTCCCCTCCCTAGGCGGACCCATCGCCCTACTCCCCCTCCCCAACAACAACGCAACCCTCGTCTGGTCCACGACCATCGAAAACGCCGCCTACCTCAAATCCCTCTCCCCGAAGGCCTTCATCTCCATGGTCAACGCCGCCTTCCGCCTCTCCATGACCGACCTCCAGTACATGCTGCGCATGGAACGCCCCTCCTCTACTACAACCGAGAACCCCTACGAAGACGAACTCACCTGGCGCCTCCAACACACTCCGCAGCCCTCCCACCTCCCACCCATGGTCACAGGCGTCCAGGAAGGCAGCGTGGCTTCCTTCCCCCTCCGCTTCCGCCACGCCTCCACCTACGTCTCTCCCCGCGTGGCTCTCGTCGGCGATGCCGCGCACGTCATCCATCCGCTCGCCGGTCAGGGCTTGAACCTGGGTCTGGGCGACGTGGCGTCCCTGGCGCAGACGATCGAGTACGCTGTGCACCATGGTATGGACGTGGGTGATTTGCTCACTCTTGAGCGGTATGCGTGGGATCGGTATGGCACGAATGCGAAGATCGGCGGTGCTTGTGATGTCCTGCATAAATTGTATAATGTTCCGGGTAATGGACCTGTGGCGTGGGCGCGCAGTCTGGGATTGGATGTGATTGATCGGGTGCCGTTTGTTAAGGGGTTGTTGATGAAAGGGGCTGAGGGGTCGTAAATCAACCTATGTGTTTATTATGAGGTAGGAAGTGGTATGTATATTATTATTTTTCTTTAGCAGTACTTTAGTCGATTTAACTAAGTGTATGATATGACTACTACATGTGTGCAGTATATCAATCTCATGCTCTATAAGTACTAACTACTACATTCCAATGACAATAA